TTTCTTGATAAACCTTCCTATTGTTTTTGACTTGTGTTTTAATATGTTGGCTAACGTTATATGAAGATGAAGAATTCTGTCAGGCTATTGATTGATTTTCCATTGTTCTGCATTTCCCCAGCTGATTTTAATAAATAAGCATTGGTTGACATTGAGTGTGTGCTCTTCTTTTTTTTTCTTTTTAACGACCGGCTAAAATTAAATGATGATAACGTGAGGCAAGCGTAGGCTACGGCATAATTGTGACCTATTTTTAGCGGAAGTCATTGAGGGATTTGACAGTGTGATTCATAGATTAGGTATTTCAAATTTAGGCTATTATATACACGCACGCACAAAGTTTTTTTTTCTTACCATCTTTTGGGGGTTTCTTGCTTTTAGACTAGTCGACTAGTCGGATACAAAACTTCAGTTTAAACGACAGTCAAATTAGTCGTCACGCACATCCCTACTTGAGGCCCACACCTGCACCAGTATATGCTGTTTTATCTTGTGAAGCATGTATATTTGCAGCATAAGTAGCACCAAACAGAATTGAAAAAATAAAAAAATCCCAAAATCATCACTTGGACAAATAGATTGTCCCATCCCAAACACAAGCCATTGGTTGAGTAAATGTTGCTATGTCAGGCCGTTTTTGGACAAGAGCAACCTCTGAATGTCTCTGCACATTAAAGTATGAGAAGAAAGTAGAAGGAAGTATTTTAACTTTTAAAAAAAAATAATCTTTATGAATTTGTAGACTATAATAAAGTAGTGTTCCTATCTTTTGGCTTGACATAAATGTTAAATCTTTTGGACAGACGTTATGGGGTTAACCTGTAAAATTGAATTATGTTGGCCAGCAAGTGAAAGTTCCTACAGAAATGGTGAAACACAGTTACTCGTTCTTCAAGAAATGGTGAAATTCCCTATCTCCTCTTTCCATCTCATATACGTTAAAATAAAACTAATGCTTGATTTCCTCTTTCCTTCCTCAACTAGCACGCCTTTCATATAATGATAGAGGTAAGAGAAGCCTGATTCATTCATCTTTTTTTTTTTTCAAGATTATGTTGAAACCTCATTTTAAAAAATCCCAAAATCATCACTTGGACAAATAGATTGTCCCATCCCAAACACAAGCCATTGGTTGAGTAAATGTTGCTATGTCAGGCCGTTTTTGGACAAAGAGCAACCTCTGAATGTCTCTGCACATTAAAGTATGAGAAGAAAGTAGAAGGAAGTATTTTAACTTTAAAAAAAAAATAATCTTTATGAATTTGTAGACTATAATAAAGTAGTGTTCCTATCTTTTGGCTTGACATAAATGTTAAATCTTTTGGACAGACGTTATGGGGTTAACCTGTAAAATTGAATTATGTTGGCCAGCAAGTGAAAGTTCCTACAGAAATGGTGAAACACAGTTACTCGTTCTTCAAGAAATGGTGAAATTCCCTATCTCCTCTTTCCATCTCATATACGTTAAAATAAAACTAATGCTTGATTTCCTCTTTCCTTCCTCAACTAGCACGCCTTTCATATAATGATAGAGGTAAGAGAAGCCTGATTCATTCATCTTTTTTTTTTTTCAAGATTATGTTGAAACCTCATTTTAAACTTTTTTTCATTGCTATCAAAAGCACCCCTTTGTTTTTGTTAGCACATTTTCCTATAATATCCCACTGGTTTTATTTTGCGTTTATCCCTGCACATTGCCTCATCAATCTGTGATGCTCTGACTTTCAGTGCACGGATAACAAAAATGAAATCCTCTCTGATTCAGGGGATTCAGGCAGAGATCCCTTGATTTTGGTGCATGGTAAAATGGCAGTACTGAGGTTAAAAATGCATGTCTCCAAGCATGTAGCAAATGTATGCAAAGATGAATGTTATGAATGTGGGAATGGGGAACAGCTGAAAGTGCTTTTATTGTACTTAACCTATGAAACATTTGCAGTCATATTGAAAGATTCACGGCAAACTGTCATATTGCATCAGTGTCACCTCTTGGACATTCTCAATTTCAGCACACACTAAATACACATGAAAAATCAGTGGCTTGATAACTTTGAAAGATGTGAGGCTGTGGGTCTCTGCGGCACTCATTTGCCAATCCATGTGGCAGTTTTAGCCAGAGAGGCAAAGCTCTTAAAAACTGGAATGAACTAAGATTATTCCCTGATGAGTCCTGAGCTGTATTTACATTTGCATGAATGTGCTTCTTGACAGATGTTCGTCCATGAGCTAAATAAATCTACAACAGCAAAATATAAATAAAAAAAGCCTTGCTAGATTTAAGAGGGTCATGTTATGTAAAACTGGATTTTTCCCTCCCAGCAAGTAATGTATAGTCTGTATAGTAATTATATAGATTATACTATGTTTTTTCAGTGATCACTTTCCATATCACAGTAACAGTAAAAGCAGCCTGTTTTCTTGGGGCTAGAAAGAAAGTTGAAAATGGTGGGGGAAAACTGAATTATGAGCAGGATATTTAACTTTTAGTCCAGGAAACCTTGACTAGCATTGTAAGTGGACCTCAAGGGGAAAATAAAATGCTGCAAAAGAGTTAAGATATTGCCCTTTTACAACCTTTTTGAATCGCTCCCAGAGTTCCCAGAGGGTGATTGAACAGTAATGTTGGGCAGCCCAAAAACAAGTAAAGGAAATCAAGTGGTCATTCAGTGTTCTGGAGCCAAAGATTGTTGCCTGATTTCTCTTGAGATTTAGTCCACCCTGAAGGTTTAATACAAAACATCGCATTAATTCTTTTATCCACCTGTGTGCCAGTACTGATAAGATACACTCTTGCACTAAGTCCATTTAGTTCTGTAAGGATTTAGCTCAGCATTACATTGTGTATATGCTGCATTTGTTACAGCAAACCACTGTGTATTGCTTTGGTCTAAATGTGTCTTTCAAATGAATAACTGTATGTAAATAATTCACAAGAGATCAAAAGCCCCCAAAAATTTCAAGGCCGAACAAGTTATCCCAGATTCACTCTGTGCATTCTTCTTAAAGTATATAGTCTTTGTAAACAGTCATGGACCTTAGGGTGGCTTTCTGTTAGGTGAGATAAATCTTATTCTTCCATACATCACATTTATAGTAGACTTAATAACAGTCCTAAAAACTCAGTGCAATAAAAAAATCAGTTTTCATTGAAACAGTAGAAAGATTTATTTGATGTTTCAAAAACTATTCAGACATGCATCAATGGAAAAATGTGCATCAGTGAATACGTCTGAATTGAATGTATTTGATGCATCACAAAATAGTGAAGCCACATCTTTGAGTTGTCCTTGTATGCTGAATTAAAAAACAAACTGGCTGTGATCTGATTGTTACAGTATGTTTGTGTATAAAAAAGAATGCAAATGACATATATCAGATATAAGTATTGCTTAAATTATTTAAAGACTGAGAAATGAGAATTAGGGACATCAGAAAATACCTGCATGAATGCTTCACATGTAAGTCATTTGCAAAACAATTGTCTCTGCTAGACTTTTTCCACTGGTCGCTTTATTTTTAGACAGTGAACAAAACAAACAACTCCAGTAACCTGCACTCTGACATACTATATCTGCCACAGGCATCTGGGTAGAAGGATAGCCCTCTTAAATTACCTGTGTTGTTTTTCTTTTTCTCTATTTTAGAAAAGGAATGCTTTAAAAATGTCAGTCTGTACCTCCATCCATGGCCACTGCCCCAGGGGCAAACGCTTCCCGTAAGACCTATTGTCATCATGTTTATGACTGGTGTCTACTTGGTGACTGACGTTTAGGCAAATTGAAAAGTAAATATGACCCTGACCCATGTGGGTGTAGGTGTGTGAGGTCAGGGTGAGGGTTGTTTTCTTTACGTCCCCCTCAGGAGCTTAGACCCCCCCCCGTACCTCCATCCTCCCTCATTTCGTGTCGACTCTATTCGGTTTGTGTAACAGCAAAGCATTGCCATCTCAGAAGTACTCGCTTTCTCACCTGCGTCCTCACCGTTTCGTGTTTTTCTTCTCTGCATGATGGATGTTCTGTTCTTTAACCTTGTCTCCTCCCACCCACAGTCATGCGATGCACTTTTCTCCAGCATTTGTTTCTTTGAGGACTTGGAAAAACTTAACAACCCAGATCCATATGCTAAGGAGTCTCAGTTCAGAACAATCGTGCCTTCCCCTCCATGTTCAGTTGGTGGAAATGTAGGCCACATATAAAAACATGCCTGTTCTGCATTTGTCCTACTTTTGCCTGAACTCCAAACCACAATCCAGCAGGTGCTCTGTGGACAGACATTCTTCATCCTACCTACTTATTGGGCATTTTTTTCAAAAAGGAGGCCAAATGAATCTCTTTTTGTCTATTCGAGCACTTACGACTAACAAAGGGAAGTAGGTTGTTACAGAGATTTAAGGTTAATCTCACAAGACTTCTTTAAAGAACATACCAGTGTAATTTGTCTTCCATTATATTTTGCTTATTGTTTGCTTATATTTGATTAAAGGGGTCATATGATGTTGCTAAAAAGAACATTATTTTGTGTATTTGGTGTAAAATGAAGGATGTTTTTAGGACCATGAAGAAAGTTTTGCATTGTGACATTAAGTTAAACAAAAATAATTTTTTATATATTTATCTTATAGGGATGCAACAATACATTTAGCCTACGGTTCAATACATACCTCAGTTTTTTAACCACGGTTTTCGGTTTGGTTCAGTTCTGATGGTTTGACACATCAGAGTTTTTTTTTTTTTTTTTTTTGCGATTTTAAAATGTGATTTTTAAAACAATTTGAAAAATCTACTTATGTACACTCGAGAAAAACATGGATTATCATGTGTCTTGTTCAAATTTCTTTTGAGAGAAGTATTATTTTTCCTGTTTATTCCCAAAATAGGATGGCTTGGCCATTATTGTGCGTTATAAACACATGTAAGTCTGTTTCATTCATACTGGAAGCCGGAGGGCGCTCTCACGCAGAAACTCCACATATGCATCACAGAAGTAATAGAACTCATACGTTCCAGGAAATCCCTAATATGGACAAAGGCATCCAGCTTTCGCTGAATAAAAAGAAGATAGAAACGTTTTGGATAATGAAACTTGAAGACAAATTAACATTTGACTAAGACAATGTATAGTTTATCTGTGTTCTTCAAGCCATCTCTGGTATTTTCATAATAATTAAGTATATTTGTGATCCATTGCTAATCGACATAGCCTTTATTACAGTATAGAATATATTTTCTGCCTCATTCTGTGATAAGAAGCCACACCATACCCCCTCATGAAAGAAGAAAGCCATCGTGTTTCCGCTAAGCGCTGAATTTTCAAAAGTATGTGAAATATGTAAAGTTCGCAGCGTAGACTCTTTAAAATGCATCCAAGAGTTTACACATCGGTCTGTTATTGTGGTGACATTTCCACAACCCTAAACATGACGCGGCACAAAATGAAACGTGATTGGTTGTTTTACTTGTCAGTCATATGGCCTCTTGGGCGGTCCTTGGCCATTCAAAGCGGCCAAGGTTCCCAGACCTTCTGCTGTCAGTCTGAAGGTCTGGCTACGCGAGACTATAGGTGGAGAGGCGTTTCCTGATCTCACGAAAACTCACGGGCACACAAACAGAGCAATTCGGAGAGCAATTCGGAGAAAAATAAAACCCATATAAATTATTTAAACGCAAAACCGAAAAAACGATGTCGTACCGAACGGTTCAATATTATATTGAGAATTGTGTCATCCCTATTATCTTATATAAATAAACATTTTATATTACATATTAAACATTATGTAAATAAACTAGGGATGTAACGATTAACCGTGAGCCGGTTGAAAATCGATTCAAATATGTGACGATTCAAATCGGTTGAGATGCTAAACAAATCGCGATTCATTTAGGGGTAGTTTATGAATCCATGTCTGAGGGGAACTTACTGTCTTTAGAAAAGTTTAGATGCAGGGCTCTACAGTGCAACTATTTCAGTTGCATTTGCGACTGAAAACTACTTAACACAGCGGTGTTTCATTTATGAATGAATGGGCATTTCTGAACGGATCTAGTGAGTCAGTGATTCATGATTACCCATTCATAAAGACAGTCACTTGATTCATTCCTGAATTAATCAGCTGTTCGAACGAATCAATTGAATGAATGATTCAGTGATAAAAATAAGACTTGC